TCCGCCAGCAGACAGCACACCTCCTCGTCCTCCGCGTCCCCTCAGGGCAGGCAACAGTCCACCTCCCCCTGCAACATCACCAGGGAGATGGAGTCGCCGGAGATGCTGGTGCTCACCTCGCTGCCCGGGAACAACGGGCAGAACACGCCCAAGAAGATCAGGGAGATCAGCTTCACCAACATACAGAGGCAACTGAAGCTCAGAGGCGTGTCGCTGAGGAGACACTTCCCGCAGGTGTACAGGAAGCTCCGAGCTTACGTGGACGGCACCGTCGACAAGTTTGCTCCGGTTACCATCTATCCCAGGGACCAGGCGTCCGGCAAAAGCTTCATGTGCATCATTATGCTCGACGTGGAGCCAGAACGCCTCCAGCTGCTTCCTACGGACTCCTCGAGGGTCAGGACCGTCGACATCAGCGTCGAGCAGGAATGAACGTTCATCGGGGACGAGTTCTTATTCGCTTGAATGGTTTTTTTTACTCGATTAGGAAGATTGATTCGTAGGGATATGGACGGAGTACCTTGCGTGGGACTGCGAAGGAAATGGAGAGAAAGTATGACCGTCTTGCGAAGACGGTTTACCAAATCGAGGGAGGGTGGAATACTGCGAAGAGATTTGGGGTCTGATGGACTCTAGTTCTTAGATGCGTATGCTCGCGTTTTGGGTTGGGTAGCGATTATCTTGGACGATGTTGGATTTCATTATGTTGATGGTGGGTGGTACAATTAACGAGGTACAACGTAGGCTTCCTTTAGACGCGAGTTTGGAACACCTCGATATTCGCTCTAAAATGTTGGAGATCTCAATCTAAGAATTTGAGAATCGTTTCAGAATTCTTGAACTGCCAAATCCCAGACTCCTAAATTCCCAAACTCCCAACTCCATAAATTCGGAAACTGACGAAGCCTATCAAGGAAGCTTACCAGCAACGTAATGAAAGACAATACTCCAATAACTAGGAACGAAGCTTCTGAATGCAAGCTAAAATGGCGTTCACTTTCAGCGTCATGATGCAAGCAATGGTTTCCGTGGGCATTTAACGAGCGTTTGTCAACGACAACTGATGAACATCAGTTGTCGTTCGCGAGCCTTCTTCGTGAACCTTAGAGGTACTTCTAAAGTCGCTTCGATAGATCAAAAAAAAAAATAAAATAAAACTCCTCGATTTGGTTGTTACTCATTGTCAGATGTTTATTAATTACATCGATCGTCGAACGAGTTAACAAGCGATCGTGATAGAACAACGGTTCCTATCGGCATTTAGACACTGAATTGACCTTTTATCTTTGTAAGTCGTTTCGCGACGTTACATGTGTTTCTACGTTGACACGGTGAGTGCCACAGTCGAATGTGTGTATCATTTTAGTTTAGCGCGCTATTAAACGTTTACCTACCATTCTTTACATTGTTTCGTTATCGGTGGCCATAACAGTGGACTTTTACAAATACTTTCGAGGTAACCGCTGCTCTAACGCAGGCACGACTGAGTGGTGACATTGCCGATTACTACGGTTGGTTTGTATACCATGGGTTAGGTAGTATTGGCTCTTGTTATATTGCCGTCGATGGGCAAGTTTCAAAGTTTAGGGATTTGGGATTGTTGGGTGAGATGTGGAAATTGGAAATTTAAGAAATTTGAGGATTTCAGGTAGAAGGGTTGAAATAGTTGAAAGTAGAAATTTGGGAATCTGAGGATTTGGATTTTTGGGATTTTTTTAACTCGAAAATCATTAACTTAGAAATTTCTAAATTTCACGTATGAGATATACAGGGAGTCCCACTATTATTATAGGTCCTTGGGGTGGTAGATGACGCGATTCTGAATAAGATTTCCCTTTGCAGAAATGGAGTTTGAAGCTTCGTTTTTTAATTATTAAGGAAAAACGCGGAGTAATCCTTGCACTCTGATTGCTACGCGTTAGATTACCATGTGCTGGATTAGTACGCGTTGGTTAACTACGCGTTAGATTACCACGCGTTGGATTATTACGCGTTGGTTAACTACGCGTTAGATTCCTACGCATAGTATTCTCACGCGCTGAATATCCACGCGCTGGATTACTACGCGTTGCATATCCACACGCTCGATTACTACGCGTTGGATTACTACGCGTTGCATATCCTCACGCTGGATTACTACGCGTTGGATTACCACGCGTTAGATTCCCACGCGTAGAATTACCACGCGTTGCATTATTACTACCCGTTGCATTACTATGCGTAGAATTACCACGCGTTAGATTACTATGCGTAGAATTACCACGCATTAGATTACTACGCGTTGGATTACTAAGCGTTGAATATCCACGCGCTGGATTACTACGCGCTGGACTACTACGCGTTGGATTACTACGCGTTGGATTACTACGCATAGGATTACCAATAGTTTTATAATTTTGGTCCTTAAATTTTGAACGTGGAACTCGTTGTTGAATCACTCTGTACATTTTCAACCTTACACCGTTCCATATACGCGTTAAATTCCCACGCGTAGAATTACCACGCGTGGCATTACTACGCGTTGAATATCCACGCACTGGATTATTACGCGTTGCATATCCACACGCTGGATTACTACGCGTTGGATTACTCCGCCTTGGATTACTACGCGTAGAATTACCACGCGTTGCATTATCACGCGTTGGATTACCACGTGTTGAATAACCACGCGTTATCGAAAGCTGTCATTCTCGCGTCTGCGCATGCGTAATCCTCGCGCTCTAATTGTTCCACATTTTTCCTTAACACTAGAACTACCAATCAGTCAAAATGACTGGTTTCAGATTTCTCATTTTATATTACAAAATTTTATTGTCATAATTTTATGGAAATGTCTGTCATATTTTGTTGAGGTAAAAACTAGTTCTATATGTTACTTGATGCTTTAGTATTTATTTATTTCCTTTTTCATTTTATTTTTCATTCTTCGATAAATGAGCCTCTAATGTCGGTAGTTCTAGTGTTAATAATTCAAAAACGGAGCTTCAATCCCCATTTCTTCAAAGGGAAATCTTATTCAAATTCACGTGAACTACTCCCTATTTCAAGGACCTACACTTGAACTACCTACTCTCTACCATTGTGAGTCACCCTGTATATGTTTGATGTTAAGCAGTGTCGAAGTTGTAGAATAAATAAAGGCAATATGTTGAACATGTCGGTCGTGCCGGCTATAATCATAAACCTTTGGATCGCTCGAATGTTCGACGAGTCGTTCTCGAAAGTAACGACGAGGGAAATATCTTGTTGTCCTTTCGTTCGATTTAACGTAGTTACGGTTGTATTTTTTGAATTTTATCCTATATATTATATACATAAAGATTAATTGGTCAGACCGACTCGAGCGTTCTATTATCTCGAGTTAGCCTGAGTCCGTGAAATGGCGAAAAATCCGGGCATATTTGCGGGTTTCAAAGTTCTCCTCGAAAATCGGAAATTTTCGAACCGACTAGCGGCCGGTGTCCCTGAAAGTAGACTTTCTACCGAGTAATCGTCGAGCTCAAAATTCGATCACTACCGTTTCCACAGACGCGATTATTGTGCCAAAACGTAGACAGTTACGAGTTCCTGGACTGCGAACAGATTGCTATATCTGCACGGATCGCGATCGTAGCAGGAACGATGGATGCTTTACAAACATCTCGTGGACTAACTTCGTGGCAACGAGGGACTACTGCTTTCGATAGGAATTTCATTAGAGTCCTCTTGTGTTCCTTTCGGCTATTTAATGATGACTGTCATTCGAACAAGACTACTCAGCTTTTAACGATAAGGAGACACGCTCGGAAATTGTATAGTAAGCGGTACAGCGTGGTTGTAAATGTGTGCTTCGTTTATCACACTTACTTACGAATATTTAATTTGTTACTTTCATAATTCACAGAATTATTCTTGTGTTCATTGTAATTTTTTATACGTGATTTTATGAGTAAAAATTGAAGTTATGTGATTTGAAATTGGTAAATAAATTGGGAATTTTATTTTCAATTGGGAACTTTTTTTAATTGTTAAGCGTTCTTCTAATTGAGAGTACACGTTCTTGTAAAGTTGGAATGTAATCTTTTATTTTGTATTTCTATGAATTTTTAGTAATTTTTATTTTCTAACTGTCAATATTGTAAGAGTATAACATTGTCAATTGTATTAGAAATACAGATTTCTGCAAGTACCATAGTAAAATCATTCAAATCCAAAATTCGAATAAAGCAGAATTGCGTCAAACTGTTTATTTTTATTTATTTAGTTGACTTAATTATTTAAAATTCATCTGGTTGTATATTGTGCAAAATAAAATTACATTTTCTATGTTATTATAAAGATAAATAAAATAAAGACAGTAAATTTGTTGGAAGAATTACTCATTTCAAACAGTCGTTGTTAATTAAATTTTAAATAAATTTATGTATAACAATTTTGAACTCTATAGTTGCAGTCTAAATATTTATATAAAATACTATATCTAAAGACATTTACAACCACGCTATATTTCTGCAATGACACAAGAAATTGTTTCAAGCATGAAATAAATTTCTTGCAGATCTTGTTAAACTTTACGTTGAAAATTCGATTGGTTACTTTGTTAAAATAATATTATTTCTTTCAAATAATGTTACGAAGCTCTTTTAATGTTCAATTGAATTTCGATTTTGCGTCTGTAAGTAAATACATACAAATCGTGATCAATAAACGGTAATTAATTGAAATAGAACAGGATTAATTTCTCGGTAAGGTAGAACGCTGTTCGCTATTCTGTTCAGCGAATTATGTTTCTAAAATTGAATCGACGAAATATTTAACTCAATGCTGAACGCAATCGAATTCATTCCTTATTAAATTTATTTCACTTTGAAATTGTTAATTTTTTAAATTTTATTAAATTTCAAATTTTACCTTGCAACGGTGTTGAAAATTATTTGAACAAATGGCAATTTGTTTTTTGTTAAATTTGAAGTTTAAAATTATTTAAACTGTGCTGATCGTTCGAATAATATCCAACACCGATTATATTCAATATTTTAATGTCGATTATATTCAATATTTTAATGTCGATATTATTAAATATTTTAAAGTCGATATTATTAAATATTTTAAAATCAATGACAACAAAAACGATGTCAAGAATTAAACGAAATCCGTGATAATATGTTAAAAGAGAAACAATAATAGTGCCAATGGTGGAGTTCTTAATCTCGCAACGCTCAATAAAGTATCTTCTTTTCACCATGTAAATATCAACCGAGAACAGAGATTTCCAGAATTTTTTAACCAGCGATTATTTATCGATTCTCTCATAAAACACGTTCTATGGAAGCTTTTCAAAAGGAGCTTGCAAACAGACTTAGAAATAAAATTAGTACAACTATCTCAACTCCTGTAATACGTATTTAAGTACTGTAACTCTTTCTTGGTTTCAGTAATAGAAGAAAATATATTTTCGTTCCAATCAAATTTATCTGCTCAGCATGGAACGTGTCGGTCTTTCTTTGAATTAGGTGATTGCAAAGATTTTGATACATTTTTTAATATTACTCGTGGAATGTTGGAAATTTATTGTTAGAATTATTAATTAATTTTTGGGATATTTTTAATGTGGAACTGAACAGAAAAATACAGTAGAAAATTTCTTTTAACTTTTTAAAGAGTAAGATACATATGAAACTAACACATATGAAATGGATACTAATAACACATATGAGATTTACTTATATTGCACATGTCATTATGTACTGTTTTATATACTAATTTTTATGTACTAATTTCTTTGTTATATTTTGCAATTGTTTTATTTAATTATCACCCACTTAAAGTACCTACAATATTCTTACTTACAAAGTTACACCATTTTGTTTTCTAACCTCAAACAAAATGAACTCTATGAAGGTTAATATTTGTACTAATGTTAACACATTGTTTAATCATGTTTAATTATATACTAAATTTTATATGATGTTCAATAATTAAAAATTGTATTAACTCTCCCTTATTAAATGTTCATATTTAAAATTGATTTAAAAAAAAGATGAAAATTATTCAATATCAAAATTATGCTTTTATTGTATGTTCTTTAATATTCAATACCCTTATTCATTTCTTATAACTTCAACAAATATCTTGTTACATTTTTGCATTATTAAATATTGATTTTTATATTCATTTTTAAATATGTATTTTTTCATTCATTTTTAAATATTGATTTTTATATTCATTTTTAAATATGTATTTTTTCATTCATTTTTAAATATGTATTTTTACATTCATTTTTAAATATGTATTTTTACATTCTTTTTTAAATATTGATTTTTGTATTCATTTTTAAATATGTATTTTTACATTCATTTTTAAATATTGATTTTTACATTCATTTTTAAATATGTATTTTTGCATTCATTTTTAAACATTTATTTTTACAGTTCAATTTTAAACATTCATTTTTAAATATTGATTTTTATATTCATTTTAAAATATTTTTTATTTGAAGATTTTTAAAATTGAACACAATACATGTAACATGTCTGAAGGTTCATAAAATGGCGAAAGTAAAGAGCTTCATTTAAAAGATTATGCAATGAATGATCAAGCAAAAATTGTATCAAGACTTTTGCAATGACCTAACAAAACAATAAACTTTAAATTATCAGATGGTAATCAAAAGACTTGGAAATCCACGTTACTTCGACAAAGTAATTTCTAGTGCCAATGGTAGTATCCCTGATAGCTTCTGTCGAGGGTCAAGCAAGGCAATTTGATAAAACTCGAAGGATATTATTCTTGTAACCGTGCTACGCCTTAATCGAGACGAATCGCAGAAGCCGATTTTTGTACGATTTGATGTTGCATCTGCTGTACACCTGGAAATTATCGCTATAAAATATAGAGTACACGTGTAACAAACTTGTCACTTTTCATTTATAATTATTATTTCCCATTTTAGATAGTTTTACGATTATTATATTTTCAGAAATATGCTTCATTGCAAAATAAAAACATCTAATCATTCTGTGTTATAATCATTAACGAAATTATAATTGTATATTAATTATTGTCAATCCTAATTATTTGTTAAAATATAAAATTAAGTATGTGAAATTTTTATATTATTCTTAATTCTATAAATATTTCTATAAAATTAATTTACAAGAAAGAATGATAAAAGTTTCTTGAAATAATTTTTAAAAAACGTCAACTTTTATTCGACTTTTGTATCGAAGATGTAGCAAGTTTGTATAAACCTTGGTTGTGATAAACAGACATGTATTTAAGTTTGTACAGTAGAAGTTTGTATTTAACAAACCCGAAGGATTAGAGTGCTTGTGAGAGAAAGAAAATGAATACATAAGAATGCTGCCCCGAATACCGGTTAGGTATTCCCTAAATAGTACTAGAATACCTCTAAATCGAAATTAGTAACGTTTGTATGTATTAGTTTACCAAATTCGATATTTCACTTTAAAAAAACTTTAATCGAACATTTGTTAAAAAACTATTTGTTGGATAACGGGTCAAGTGAACTTTACAAGTGTAATGAACGAGATTGTCATCATTATTTTCCAATAAAATTTGCTTATAAATGTATACATTTCGATTAAGAATATATGACTAGTATCGTTAAAAAGGATTAATTGTTTACCCAGTGTTTTTAAACAAAATATTCTCGAGTTTAAACTCCTTCGACTAGAACCTATAATCGTTTCTTTTTAAACTATACCGAAACGTATAGACAAATATTCAAAATTATTATCTATCTCCTCTATTTTAAATGAACAGCTCAATCGAACGAGCGATTAGGCTCGTGTAGTCACTTTGAACCTAACGTTATATCGTTTCAACGTCTATTTATCGGTGCTACCAATGTGCTATCATTGTTTTCGTATCTGTGTATGTCTGAATTTTTCAAATAAAATGTTAATTTTATTACAACCTTCCTCTACTTTATACCTCTGGTAAGTTTCCATCACTAATATAATTAACAAATCTGTATTTAAAAAAAAAAACCTATATATAAATTAAAATAATTCTGTCGAAGTATATGGTCTTTAAAATCAGAAATAGATATATATTATACAGGGTGTCTCACAAGTAGCGTAAGTCCCTGAAATGGGGGATAGCTACCTTGATTCTGAATAAGATTTCCCTTTGCAGAAATGGGATTTGAAGCTCCGTTTTTGAATTATTAAGGAAAAATGTAGAGCAATCAGAGCGCGAGGATTGCGCATGCGCAGAGGCGAGAGCGACAACTTTCGATAACGCGTAGTAACCCAGCGTGCGGATATGCAACGCGTAATAATCCAGCGCGTGGATATTCAACGCGTAGTAACGCAACGCATGGTAATTCTACGCATAGGAATCTAACGCGTGGTAATCCAAGGCGTAGTAATGCAACGTGTGGTAATTCTACGCGTAGTAATGCAACGCGTGGTAATTCTACGCGTAGTAATGCAACGTGTGGTAATTCTACGCGTAGTAATGCAACGTGTGGTAATTCTACGCGTAGTAATGCAACGTGTGGTAATTCTACGCGTAGTAATGCAACGTGTGGTAATTCTACGCGTAGTAATGCAACGTGTGGTAATTCTACGCGTAGTAATGCAACGTGTGGTAATTCTACGCGTAGTAATGCAACGTGTGGTAATTCTACGCGTAGTAATGCAACGTGTGGTAATTCTACGCGTAGTAATGCAACGTGTGGTAATTCTACGCGTAGTAATGCAACGTGTGGTAATTCTACGCGTAGTAATGCAACGTGTGGTAATTCTACGCGTAGTAATGCAACGTGTGGTAATTCTACGCGTAGTAATGCAACGTGTGGTAATTCTACGCGTAGTAATGCAACGTGTGGTAATTCTACGCGTAGTAATACAACGCGTAGTAATCGAACGCGAAATAATCCAACGCGTAATAATAAAACACGTAGTAATCCAGCGCGTGGATATTCAACGCGTAGTAACGCAACGCATGGTAATTCTACGCATAGGAATCTAACGCGTGGTAATCCAAGGCGTAGTAATGCAACGTGTGGTAATTCTACGCGTAGTAATACAACGGGTGGTAATTCTATGCGTAGTAATTCCACGCGTGGTAATTCTACGCGTGGTAATTCTACGCGTAGTAATCCAGCGTGTGGATATCCAACGCGTAGTAATCCAGCGCGTGGATATTCAACGCGTGATAATTCTACGCGTGGTAATCCAACGCGTGGTAATCTAACGCGTAGGAATCTAACGCATGGTAATCTAACGCGTAATTAACCAACGCGTAATAATCTAACGCGTAATTAACCAACGCGTAGTAATCCAACGCGTAATAATCCAACATCGTAATCTAAAAAATAAAAATAAAATACAAAACAAAAGAGTACCGGGTGATTCGATGATTTATGAAAGTTTTTGATTTATTTGGCTCTGTACAGATTTGCTACAAATTTTATTATCGTTAATAATACCGTCGTACATTTGTAATCATCGTATGGGTATTACGCTTGCGTCTTTTTCATATTTTCCTTCTTCGTCCTCCATCTTGTTTTATCGTACACGAATGAAATCGCTCATTTATTGCAACGAACTCGAAGTACATACGTGGATGTGTTCTAACGCCTTCTTTATTATCGTAACTGGAAATTCATTATTTTTAGTTTACCGACAGCCGAACGGCTTACAATTATTTTGCACCTGCATTGAGAATTATTCAAAGGACCGATGAGCGAGTATGAGGTTCGTAGTAGAAACAAAAGGAAATCACGAAAAGATATCCCGGTCTCTCCTTTCGCTTTTTTTAGCAGAGATGTTCCTTAATTAAGCTTTGGAATAACCGTGTTTCTTTTTTTTGGTACTATTGGTGTAACTAGGATTTTTGTTTTTGAGGTGGGTTGGGGCAGTTTAGGGTTTGGAAATGTGAGAAATGGGGATTTAAGAATTTGGGGAGGTAGAAATTTGGAAATTTAGGAATTGGGGGTTTAAAAATTAGGGATGTAGAAATTTCAAAGTTTAGGAATTTGGGGATGTAGAAATTTGGGGATATAGGAATTTGGGGATGTAGGAATTTCAAAGTTTAGAAATTTGGAGATGTAGGAATTTCAATGTTTAGAAATTTGGGGATATAGTAATTAGGAAATTAAGATTTGCAAATTTTTAAATTTGGGGATGTGGAAATTTAGGAATTTAGAAGCTTGGAGTTATAGTAATTGAGAAATTAAGATTTGGATATTTAGAATTTGGGGATTTAAGGGTTTGAGTATTTAGAAACTCAGATATTTCAGAGTTGCAGCATTAAAAATTCACCAAGTTGGAAACCACAAAATTTAGAAATTAAATTAATAACACTGAAAGTTCCTATTATATGTTGATTCACAAACCCACCCCTAACCTAGTTACATCAATGCGTACAAGAGTTCCGCGATTATCACTGCATAAAGCACGGTCGACGATGATAATAATAATAATATTAATAATAAAAATAATAATAATAATGATAATAATATTAATAATAATAATATACATTCATACAAAGTTGCACAATATTCAAGCTTACGAACGAAACGATTGTCTGTTTTGTTTCGTTTCGTCTCGCGTTACAAAATTCTCCATAAATACTGTGTCGTAGTTGGCGAAGTAGCTAGAAAGTATAATACCTACGTCTAGTCATCTTACATCTAACGAGTTTATACTTCGAATTATATTATATTTATATTATATATATTTATATATGTATATGTATAAACATAGTACAGACGAGAGACTGATCAATTGTTCGTTTACATATTACATTACATTATAATAGCGTTTTGACTATAACTTTAAAATCATGTGAATGTACACGTGTCGTTGCTGATGAATCCGTTATAGCTACAATTAGAGCGATCCAGTCTCGCCTCCATTACAATCTTAGTAGATTTTTATACAAGGATAAAACGCTGCTTGTCGTCGGTCAGCGAAAATTATTAAATATAAATTACTTTTTCTGTTCGCGCGGTTCGAATCAATCGAACATTTAGTATTTTAAAAGAAAACGAAACGCTAACTCAGGGGACCAACTCTTATTCGCAGGTCCTAGCTAATGTTCAGAAACGAACGCGGTGAGAAACAGATTTTCTGAACATTTCTGCTGTCGCAACACGCAAGATTATACAATAATCTTAACGAGCAATTTACAGGGTGAGTCACCTTTGTCCGACCCATCATTGTTTTCTTAAATTATATCTAAAGACTGTAGACTATAATGCATTTCAGTTCTTTCATACTCAAAATTATTCTATTGAAGTTTGAATATTCTATTTGGAAAACAAAATTTACCTAGAAGGTACACCTTTAAAGAAATTATTGATTTTCTTTATAATTTTTATAAGCAACATTTTCACCTGTTATTTATAATAACAATGATATTTCAGGTGAACAAAGTTGTAAGGTCACCCTGCATGGGTACTGTGTAATTGGTGGAACAACCATTGGTGGAACAAAATATAAATAGAAAATGTAGAGTAACAATTTTTTGTAAAAGCACTCTTTATAGATTATTATTTTTATTGTACTGTCCAGAGCACGAGAGAAAAGTAGCGGGACGGGAACGGGGCAAAGAGGGTAGGCCGCTAGGACCACCTAATCCCCACTTTTCGACTCACGCGTAGCTTCCACCGTTCATCCGTAATGGTGTGGTTTTACATAGGTATAGAAACAGATATTGCTACTATATGTTAAAAAACTCTATCTTTTTCCTCTTACGCGATGCGTAAAACTTTTGGACACTACGACAATGGAATGCCGCTCAACGTATCGCTCGTTCTGTCTCGCTTGTTCTACATATATCTGACCCACTCTCCGCGTCACGCGACCGATTAATGTATGTGTGCGCCTCGACAAATAGCGTGTTGTTGCCGAAAATGCGTGTGACAATAGGCGGCAACGTTACAATCCGACCACTGCGATGCTCTTTTCGTCCCTCTAGCCCCGTTCCCGTCCCGCTACTTTTCTCTCGTGCTCTGGACAGTACA